ACAGACGACAGACAGGTGAAAGAGACAGGTGAGAGATGGACAGGTAGAGAGACAGGTGAGAGACAGACAGGTGAGACAGGTGAGAGACAGACAGGTGAAAGAGACAGGTGAGAGATGGACAGGTAGAGACAGGTGAGAGATGGACAGGTAGAGAGACAGGTGAGAGACAGGTGAGACAGACAGGTGAGAGACGGACAGGTAGAGACAGGTGAGAGACAGACAGGTGAGACAGGTGAGAGATGGACAGGTAGAGACAGGTGAGAGACAGACAGGTAGAGAGACAGGTGAGACAGACAGGTGAGAGACGGACAGGTAGAGACAGGTGAGAGACAGACAGGTGAGACAGACAGGCAGAGACAGGTGAGACAGACAGGTGAGAGACAGACAGGTGAGACAGACAGGTAGAGACAGGTGAGAGATGGACAGGTAAAGACAGGTGAGAGACAGACAGGTAGAGACAGGTGAGAGATGGACAGGTAGAGAGACAGGTGAGAGACGGACAGGTAGAGACAGGTGAGAGACAGACAGGCAGAGACAGGTGAGAGACAGACAGGTGAGAGATGGACAGGTAGAGATAGGTGAGACAGACAGGTAGGGGCACAAAGGTAGAGAGACAGACAGTTGAGAGACACCTAGAGACGGTAGTGTGTATTCGTCATTCAAAAGAGGCAACAACCAGAAGACAGACTGCGTGATAACCGAGAGAAGAAGAACAGACTGCGTGATAACCGAGAGAAGAAGAACAGACTGCGTGATAACCGAGAGAAGAAGAACAGACTGCGTGATAACCGAGAGAAGAAGAACAGACTGCGTGATAACCGAGAGAAGAAGAACAGACTGCGTGATAACCGAGAGAAGAAGAACAGACTGCGTGATATAAACAAACAACAAATAGCGTGTTCCATGTTCCCTCTACAGCAGGAGCTCACGGGGCTTTCCCCAACCTGAGTCGAGAGCTGGAGTTCAATGAAATATCAGATGTGCCTTCTTAATCGTTTGCTTGGGTCCCTCACTTCCGTTTCACTTCTCATGCACTGATTCGCTAGCTGAACAGCCAATCAGAGTGATTTCTTTAGCCGACTGCCTCTCGATCCAACATGTCGAATCGGCGGCAGAAGGTGTCGGCACGGCCGAAAAGACACGACGGTGCGGTACACGCCAATCTGAGATGGGCGACACAACGCTCATCGACGGCCAGACATCTATCGATGGCGAAAATCGTCTTGGTGTGTCCGGGCCTTTAGGTGTCTAGTGGCTTGATAACAACAAAGGAAGGAAGCGCAACATTAAAATAAAGACAATAAAACAACCATGGCTTAAAATGAGTAGCAGCAAGAAAGACAAACAAATGAGTGGAATGGTGTTGGGACATTATAAAAGTTGTGTGAAGAAGCAAAGACTTTAATGTGAGTGTGTGTGTGTGTGTGTGTGTGTGTGTGTGTGTGTGTGTGTGTGTGTGTGTGTGTGTGTGTGTGTGTGTGTGTGTGTGTGTGTGTGTGTGTGTGTGTGTGTGTGTGTGTGTGTGTAGATCATCAGTGGCCAGCGCAGGTTTGACATCCACTACCAGGGCGACCCGGAGCTGCAGCCAATCAGGAGCTACGAGAGCGCCCTATTGGTCCGCCTCCTCTACAGGGTCTCCAGTCTCATCAACCAAAGGGTGAGCAGGCGCATGTTCAACTGGAACTCTAAAGACTGTGAGAAATAAATAAACAACAGGTTTCAATTTAAACCACCAAGAAACTATTTTCAACATTTGTTAGAAATGACGCCTCAATTTTTATTTTTGAAATGTTCTGGTATATGGGTATTTGTCCTAAGTATATTGGACTGTATTATTGTAATATGTAGGATGACCTTATATATAACCCATCTTTGATTTTATTTGTGTTATACTTGTGTTATTTAGGTTTCTCAGTGTTATTATTGATTTGATTTCTTTACATTTTGTTTCTCATATTCTCATGTTTAATGTTTTAGGATCTGAGACAGTCTACATGTTGTGACCCCTTGTTAAAGGAACTGTTCCTCTAAATTGGAGTACTATTGGATGTAAAGGGGGATGTGAGAAAGTAACTAATAAAGAATAAGTAAAAAAAAACAACAATTTAAATGACGCCTCGTTGACTTTCGTTGTTTTTCCTCCCACAGTTTGGAGCTCACATGGACGCTGTTTGCTCCCGTCCGGACTTCCCGGGTCGCCTGTGTCGTCACTTCCTGTCTGACGGTGACTCCGCCCCCAGGCTGAATCAGAGCTCGTTGTCGCGGCGATGGTCAGAGCGTCCGAGGCGTCCGAGGCTGAGCCTGCGTCGGCTCGCCAGCTTCAGGACCCTGATGGTTCTCCTGCTGATCTACGGCCTGGGAGCCATTCTGTCCTTCAGCCCCGTCTCCAGCTCCATCATCATCCTCACCGGGGGCTTCCTGTACGGACTGGTGCTCACACTGCTCCAAGACAAACTGAAAACACACTGACACACACACACACACACACACACACACACACCCTCTCACACACACACACACACACACACACACACACACACACACACACACACACACACACACACACACACTGAAACCGTTTAAAAGTTCAGAGGGACGTCATCAATTCTCTTGTTTTTCTAACCAACAAGTCTAAAATCCTCAAAAATATTCATGTCTTATAATGTCAGATTGAGTTAAAAGAGCAGAACACACAGATGCACGCACGCACACACACACACACACACACACACACACACCTGAAACGGGAACAGAACAAAGATCAGCTTTGATTGTGTTGATGTGTGTGTAATGGCTGCAGATAACTGTTACTTTTTTTACCTTTTTTAATAATCATTTTGATCTTAAAAGTCCACAAGGAAGTCACCAAATGTCTTGTTTTTCCAACAATCGTTAAAAATATTCATGTCTTATGTCAGATCGAGTTAAAACAGCAGATCTCTCCCTCACACACACACACACACACACACACACACACACACACACACACACACACACACACACACACACACACACACACACTGGCTGCACAGAGTTGTCCTTGAATATTATTCAACACTAGAAAACAGTTAGAAAGTCCAGAGGTCATCAAATCTCTTGTTTTCCAACCAACCGTCTAAAATCCTCAACATATTCACGTCTTAGAGTGAAAACAGCAAAATGAACATTAGAGCGTCTTAAATTAGAAGATATTTGTCTTTTTTCTAAACATGTGAGCGTGTTTCAGAGCCATAGTCTGCGTTTCTACGGATGATTTTATTCTCTTCATGCTCTAATTCCTTCCATCTACCTTCACGTTTCCCAGACTTTCCGAAGGGACAGCTTTTTAAACGAGACGTGTGAAACCCTGTTAGACGGGCAGCTTTATTTTCCTTGCCTTTGATATGACTGCTGAACTCTTTCAGATGTAAACCCTGTACATAAACACAGTGTTGTTGCTCCTCTGTTTTCAGAAAGCATCTGACAAACGGGTGCATGCCAAAACATTCAACGTGATAACAAACAATAAAACTGACTATTTTTGTGACGGCAGGATGCGTTTTTGGTCCAAGAGATTCAATAAACTGTTTGCACTTGTTGGGGTTTGTGTTAAGTGTAATTCTTTTATTTTTAGGTGTGTGTGTTTAGGTATTTATGTGTTTGATTATTTCTCCCCCTTCCTAAGCTAAACAAATAAATAAGCCTGGAGAATGCATCATCCCTAAGCTGGGGCTGTTTTTACTGAGAAACTCATGACTTTTAAGCGATAGTTGGTTGCTGCAGATTAGACAAGCCAATATTACACTAATAAGAGACTTACAACGAGCAAAGCCTTAAAGCAGTAAAGTGCACCAAAAAAACGAGGACAAATTAAATAAATGTCTGAAACATTACCAGAGAAATGTCGGAAAAAGGTTCACAAAAATCCATGTCAATTTTTTTTAGAAGTAATATATTAAATATTGACAAAAATCAATTGATAAATGAATGCATTGTTGTAGATTACATTAGCCAACATTAAGTAAAGGAGTTGCCATATATAACACCTTAAACTGCAGTAATGTGTGAATTATAAGAGGTGAATAATGTCTGGAAACCATATTTTTCTGGAATATATGGGATTTCTTTTTAAATGTAAGCAAAACAATTTTGAGAAATGTTCAAAAAAAATTATCAGTTTGTTTTATAATATGATGCACTGCTCTAGGTTACACTAGAATATATCAACGCCTTAAACAAAGATAAATATCCACAAAAGAATATTAATAAACGTATGGAAAATAACCCCAAAATGTAGGAAAAAAATCAAGAAAATGTGTGAATTATTTCCAAATATTAAAAGGCCTTAAACATTCTAAAAATATATATAAAAGGGAAACAATGCCTGAAAAACGTCTGGATTTTCTGAAAATGTTTAAATGTAAGTTAATTTCTTTGAAAGAATACATGAAAAATGTACACAAACAAATAGCTTTTGTAATAATATGATGCATTGCGGTGCCTTCAAAGAAATACAACAATTATCTAACCATTTGTATTAAAAGGGTTTCACTTATTCAATGCGCAATCATTAATTCCATAAACGACACGATGTGGAAATATCGAACTACAACTCCCATGAGCAAGTTCTGCCGCACACGTCATCACTTGCGACTCCGTTCTGTGACGTAACACGAAGCCGCCCGCCGAGGAGAAGTTTTGAAAATAAACGTGACCGTACTTTTTTATTTTACTAAACGTAAGATGTTCGCGTGGTTTCCCTCGAGACTTCCCGACAAACACCTGGAGAATCTCACCCGTTGAGAGGAGGAGAGAAAGGTCGATTCAGGTGAGTCACGTGCTGCTAGCTGACATGAGGCATGCTGTCATCTGAACACATGAACACATGAACACACATACACACACACGAACACACAAACACTCACAGATAGTCAGAATACATAGTTAAAAAGGACACCCATAAATAACCCCGTTCTTTATTAAAGAAGTGTTTTATATGTACAGCGTAGAGACAACTAAACACATAACTCGAAATAAAACACACACACACGGGGAGAGGGTCAGATATAACTTGCACGTGAGGTCAGGAAGCTGTGGACACTAAAGTGAGTCTGCCTGATACCTGTCACAGAGTTAGCGCGTGAGCAACAAGGAGACAACTTCACAACAAGTACTCAAGTACACTTCTGATGTACTTGTACTCCACTACTACATGTATTTAATACCTTTAGTTACTTCTCAGATGTGGATGAATGATGTGAAATCTAATCAAGTGTTAAATCAGACTTTAGTTCCACCTGGAGTAAATCCACCAGCTACCCTGCAGTATACAAAGTCATTCAAACTAGCTGCACCTTTACCAGCTTTGAGAACACTTTCACGATCAATCTTTATAAAACATATCATATATATTATTCTGAAATGGACCAATCTGCACAATGACTACTTTTACTGTCGCTACTTTCACTATATTTTGATGATAATACTTTTCTACTTTTACTTGAGGAACATTTTGAATGCAGGACTTTTACTGTAACAGAGTATTCCTACACTCTGGGACTTCTACTTTTACTGAAGTACAAGATCTGAGTACTTCTACTTTTACTCAACTACAAGATCTGATTACTTCTACTTTTACTCAAGTACAAGATCTGAGTACTTCTACTTTTACTCAAGTACAAGATCTGAGTACTTCTACTTTTACTCAAGTACAAGATCTGAGTACTTCTACTTTAACTCTAGTAATAGATCTGAGTACTTCTACTTTTACTCAAGATCTGAGTGTTTCTACTTTTGTTACTT